CAGAGCTGGTACCACTGAGGAAAGGGCAGGGGGCTGTGAAAGGGATGGAGAAGGAGTTTCTTTTTCTTTTTTCTTTTTTGCATGTGTCAGTTATGCACTTCAAGCACCGAGAGAGAACCTGGAATTACAAGACACAAAAGATCATTTTAGCAATGTCATATTTAGCCTAACTTTTTTCCCCCTCAATCCATTTTTTTAAACACCTTATCTGAAAACAAATCACCCAGAGTCTTAAACTTCAAGGTATTGCTCTTTTAAGATGCACGTGTTTACATCCTCCTTTGGGGTTTCAATAGATTAGTACAGGTGACCCCTGCTTAATGCTGTTTCACTTAGTGCTATTTTCCTATAACACTCATTTTAAATTGATACCCAATTCCACTTAGCGCTCAGCGAGTTTCGTTATAGCGTTTGTGCTTGCCATCTTGGGTCATTAAAAACACTTGTAGTCGCCATCGTGGGTTGTCCAAAACTTTCGGTTTCACTTAACACTCATTTTTTTCAGGACCCAATTAAGAGTGCTAAGCGGGGGTTGCCTATACTCTCTTTCACACTATATTATGCACTAAACAACTTTAAAGTGATATGAATAAAGTATTACTGTAGTCCTGTTGTGCTTGTCTGTTTGTGCTAGTTCTGTTTTAATCTCTTTAACAAACTGTTTATTGATGGAAGACTGCAGACCTTTGATGCCTCAAGACTTGTGCTTATATCATTTAAGTACTGGCTATTGCACCGTTTCAGGTTGTTCTTAGCTTTGAGGCCAGAACGTTGCACCGCTGTGACATCTCTTGTAAAATGTTACACATTAAAGAACTAGAACTATTAACTTTTGACAGGATTATTTGTATCCTACACAGAACAAACAGTGAAAACTGTGCCATGGACTACTTTTGCAAGTGGGTGCCTTACAGTTCTACAGCTGTACAGTTCTGTATCATTTTGATACTGATTTTATCTATTCTCCATTAGGAAATACTTGTGTACAATACTGTACATACTATAGCACCTTTAAAAAAACAACAAGTTGTAACTACTGGTAACAAACAGTTGTGTAATAAACTTCTCCTTTTAAGTTTTATTTCATACATGGGGCA